GCAAAGAGGCTCTTAGTAAACTCCGTGGAAAAGGGCTATTTCCACTGTCGGGGTGTTTTCTAATTTCAGTTCAAAGAATATCCTAAAGTTTAGCTTTGTTCAGAATTTTCTGCAGGAAAGGAGAGGATAGAAGAGACTATTTCATAAAACAGATTGGTTATTGAAACAGTGCTACTAACATCCATTCTCTTTCACACCACCATTTTCATCCCATTTCTTCTCCAGTTCTTTGGAAATTTGTGGTCAAGGGGATCTTAGTTACTTACTGTTTTCACTTTCTTCTTGTGTACAATAGGCACTGGAATAGAGATTTCTGAAAAGCTAGTTTATTCCATTTGCCTTTCCTGTTTGAGTTATTCTTAATATTTTCCTGTTAATATTTTGTAATATTTTACTTGTAGTGAAATGGTTCAATGTCATTTCCTAATACAAAGGCAGGATACATGGGAAGAAAATGTTCAATTCTTTGATTAAAATTATTTCTCACTTACCTGAACTTTGAGTGTTGCATGGAGAAAATAAATATTCTACATTGCGATTAAAAAAAAAAATGAAAACCTGAGAGTATTGAGTGGTAACAATGGATATTAGAGAATAAGAATTCAGGGAACCAGCAGTTAGCGTACGCGCCCTATAACAAAAACCTCTCAAAAAAAAAAAAAAAGAATTCAAAGTTGACTTGAGGTCTACGTTTTGTTGTTAAAGAATTTATAGAATTTGACAAAAAGTAGATCCTAGGTGTGTTGCTCAAAGCTTTGGTGCTCTTTTGGGACCAGCAGTTAGTGTAATGGCTATGTCGCTGGACTCCCACGTAGTCGACTATGGTTCGAGTTCCGGACCCGGTGACTTGGACTCACACCGGGCGCGTGTGCGTGTGTGCCCAAGATCCCTAGAGGAGAGTGGAGGAGGAGGGCTTGCAGCGTGGCCATCCCCCCTGGGGGGTGATTTCTTGCTTTCTGTCTCTCTGTCACTCTCTGTCTGTCTGGCGAGTGTACGTGCCCTATATATAGCAAAAACCTCTCCCAAAAAAAGAAGAAAAAAAGCTTTGGTGCCCTTTGGAAAAATTATTCCTCTTCAATGTCATTAAGGGACTTCTGAGTGATGTCATGCAGCTGCTTTCCATTTTTGACTGACACTTGCATATTGAGCCAAGCTATCTATAACTTGTTCATAAAACCTAAAGCTTTCTCCTCTTCCTTCAGGTAGTCATAAAGTAACCTGCATATAACCATTGGTGTGAGCTGAGGGAGGTGTTTTGGTGCATGGGGTGGCGGCATGGGGATCTGGGCTACCTGCTCAGGCAGCCTGCTTCTACCCTCTATTCTTGCTCATGTTTTATTTCTCAGATATACCATTTCTACTGGGTTGTATGGCTTTATAATTTGGAGTGTCTGACCCAGCTTATGATGGGCAATTTGGAACATTTTGACAAAAATTAAGCAAATAAAACACTAAAAAAACCCTAAAAACAAAGGGTCAGAAGAGATTGTAATGGTATATGTGGAGTTTTCAGAAGAGTCATAGGAAATACATATGTACAGTTAAACTGTTCCTCAAGATGAAGGCAAAATACATTTTCACACACAAAAAGACTAAAGAAGTTTAGCACTTACAAATTATTGCTAAATTATTATCATATTACAAGCCACTGTAATATTAGTAGCACTGGCCCCCATCCAAAAACAGTCATGGCATAGAAGAAACAATAATCACAGAAATTTAGAAAAATACATCTAGAAATTTAATTGCTTATTGAAAATAATTTGTGTGTGATTGGTTCAATAAAAAGTGAAACTAAAAAAAGCTCTAGATGGGAACAAAAGGAAAGAAAAATGTTTATTACATTTGATTAAAGCATCTTAAGGTCCTTGATTTATTCAGAAACGTACTAGAGGTGCTGAATCACTTTGGAATTTTTAGTAATACTTTGTAGTTAATTACTAATATATATATAAATATATTGGTAATGGAAAAAAAAATCCAAGGAAGAAGAATAGATTCTTCAAAGAAGTAAGTGCAATATTAAAATAGTACACTTATGGAAACCAGATGGTAACATTTTCAATAAAATAAAGGTGATCAATAATGTTGAATGATATAGACAGATAACAAATTTGAGGATGAAGATATACCTACTGAATATGATATTTAGCAGATTATTAGGGACCCTTCAAAGAAATGTTTTCCTGGGAATTAGATGATAAAGGGGTAAGGGATGAGAGTAACTAGAGAAAGAGAAAGAAATATTTGTTAATATCATCTTTGGTGAGTTATTTTTCTTTATTTTTTTTAGGAAGAAGTAATTGGATTTAGACCTTCCAACACTGAAGTGAGATAATAACCCTATTTTATCTCATAAATACTCCAGTCCCTGGAAATGGCTCTCCTTCTTGCCTTTTCTCATTTCCAGGTTTGTTTCATACTTTCTTAAGATGTTGTAGATGAGTATCTTCTAGTGCCTTAAAGATATAGGTATATTTGGATAGTGGGTGTAGGGGCTGTGTGAACCATGAGGACTTTTGGCAATAAGTTTTATTTACTTGTCTCCCCTGCCCACCTTACAGAGAGTTCTAGAGTCTAGTGATTTTATCTTCACCTTTAAAGTTACATCCTAGTCCAGAAAAAGTACTCTCAAGTACATTTTTGCTCTCTGAGAGAAAATAAGTCTACCCACTAAGTTATCTTGATAGATTTGGCCACCCTATATTTTGCTGCTAGATTAGCACCTGACTGTGTACATTCTTGACTGGCCTCTTAGACACTTCAGTTTTTCAAGTGAGCTTTTGGTTTAGTATTTTCTCACTTCCTCTATAATTCATTTCACATTGCTGGTTTTCTTTTATATCATCTGGCTTTCTTTTTCAAAATATTTTAAATATATTATTTTTTATTAATTAATTTATTTTATATACTTTCACTGAACAGCACCACAGCATACAAAATGCAATTTTCCAGTCAGAATATACTATAAAGTGGCTTAATCATACATGTTATTGTCAACAAATAATTTTCCATTTCTTGTTTCTTGTGTGTGTGTGTATATATATATATACATGTGTGTGTGTATGTATATGTATATATGTATACAAGTATATATATATATATATATATATATTTAATAGTAAGTTCAACTGATATATACATATCTGTGAACAAAGTTGACTTTAGGCATGAAACTCTGTGGGTAGAATGAATATGCTATAAATAGCACATACAGAGGCTATGTAGCTTACTGTGTTTCCTAAATAGGTATTTCTTAAATACATTTTTTTTAATTTCATGAAAGACAGTTTTAATAAATCAAAATCAAAACATGCTAAGAGAACTTTGTTTAATATTTAAAGCCAGGAAACAGGTTAGGATTCTTTTACAATAGTAGATACATGGACCTGTCTACAACTCAAGACAAAACTTAACACTGAAAAACAAAGCATAGAAGGTCAGTAATGTTTTAGTCACAAGTCATAAAATTCTACTTCACCCCTTCAAACTCATGTACTTTATCTTCTGTTGTGGTCCAGTCTTCCCGTTTAAATCCTAGAAGATAATGTTCCACTCTGGACTTGTCCCTACCATTAAGCTGGCCATTTTCTTAGTTGTTTTAGAACTCTTATCTCTGTGCGTCTGACTTTAGTTTTCCTAGGATAGCACTTCCTTCAGAACTTCTTGGAGAGCTGGTCTGGTGTTAAATTCTTTCAGGTTTTGTTTATCTGAGAATGTTCTTGTCTTCTCTTCCCAAATGAAGAATAATCTTGCTGGATATAGTATTCTTGTTTGACATTGTTTTTCACTCAATACTTTGAATATATTTTCCCATTCTTTCCTTGCTTGCGTTGTTTCTGATGAGTGGTCAACTGTTAACCTGATGGGATATCCTTTGTAGGTAACTTGACATTTCTCTCTTGCCAGTCTGAGTATCTTGTCGTTGTCTGGGGTTTTGGTTATTCTGTCTATAATGTGTCTTGGAGAATATCTTGGGTTGATTCTATGTTGGGTCCTTTTTATTTCTTGGGACTGGATCTTTGAATGCCTCTCTAGGTTTGGGAAGTTTCTTCCAGGATTTCATGGAATAGATTGTCAATGCCCTTATTAGTCTCTTCACCTTCTCGGATACTGATTATCTGGATGTTTGGACATTTAATGGTTTCTAGTATTTCTCATATATTATTGCCATTTTGGGGGGCTGTCTTCTCAGTCTTCATGGTGGATTTTACTAGTCCAGTGATTCTGTCTTCTACATCTGAGATTTGATTTTCTGTATCATCTAGTCTTTTAATAATTTTAAAAGGAGGTTTTGACTTCCTGTAGTATAGCCTTCATCTCCAACAGTTCCATTTGATTCTTTTTAATGGTGTGTATTTCCTCTTTCAGCTCTCGCAAGAACTTCCTCACCTCCTGGAACTCACTGGCTTTTTTCTTCTGATGTGCATTGTCTCTCTTCTCTTCCATCTCTATTAGCTTTGTCACTATGAATACTCTAAATTCTTTATCAGATATTTCTGTGAGTTCCATTGTACTGTGCGTGGATGAAGAGGAGTTGTTATTTTCCCTTGGGGGAGAGGTATTTTCTTGGTTTCGCATATTTCTTGCGCTCCTGTGGTGATTTCTAGTCACCTGATGGGTTATTTGTTTCTTCCCAATTTCTAGAAGATCAACCTGAGCAATCAGAGGCACACAGGAGGATGTGGTCTGCAAACTCTCTGGTTGCGTTTTTCTCCCTTTGTGTCACAGATTCAGTGGGAGTTGAGGAATATGAGGACCCAAATAATATTTGGAATTTGGCAACTTTTCACTTAGACTTGTCTAAACAGTGAGTGGGTGGAGGCTGAGCTGCAAAGTGATGAGGTAAACAACAAAGGAAAAGGAAACAGAGAAAGAGAGAAAGAAAAAAAAAGAGACAAATGGAAAAAGCAAGTAAACAAACAAACAAATTATTTATTTGTTAATTTAAAAATCAAAAAATGAAATCACTAGGTTTCAGCTCTCATGACAGTCTTCTTCTGGCCTTCCCTTTCTGTTTGCCTAGATGGGAGGAGGAGAGGGGAGGGGATTATTACCAAGATAAAGGAGGATTTCAGAGCCAAGAAAAAACTTTAAACATTTTTTTAAAAAGAAAAATTTAAAAAATGAAAAGACAGAGGGGACAGCAGTTAGCGTAATGGCTATGTCGCTGGACTCCCATGTAGTCGACCGCGGTTCGAGTCCCAGACCTGGTGGCTTAAACTCATGCAGGGATCGTATGTGTGCATGCCCAAGATCTCGAGAGGAGAATGGAGGAGAAGGGATTGTGGTGTGGCCATCCCCCTTGGGGGGTGATTTCTCGCTTTCTGTCTCTCTGTCTCTCTGTCTGTTTGGCAAGCGCACGCACCCTATAGCAAAAACCTCTCCAAAAAAAAAGAAAAGAAAAAAGAAAAGAAAAGACAGAGAGACAGAGAGAGACAGAAGGATACAGGGACTCTACCAGGGTAAATTCTCAGCAGCACATCTTCATTGCTCTTATCTCTAAAATCACTAGATCTCAGCTCTCATGGCAGACTCAGTCTTCTCTTATCTGGCTCTCTGTTCTTAGTTTTCATGTGTTTAGCTGCATAGTGTAATTATTTAACATTTTAATTGCTTATGTGAATTTCTAAGTGCTTCATTTAATTAGGGCAGAAGTAGTATTATATAAATAGAGCCACTATAGTAATAATAACAATTATTAGCTGTAATTATATCTTAACTGTTTTATACTGTTTATATCCAAGAGAGTAAGAAATGTTTGACAGTTTGTTTGCAAATTTAAGCTGTGAAACTCTCACTTGGATAAAGACTGCTTCTTCCTGGTACTAGCTCCCTTTGTAAACACTCGATTAGAGTTAGTTTTGGCTATAGTTATTTTAATCTCCTCAAATTATTTAATTCCAAAAATTTTAAAAATAATTACTTTATTTAATTTTATTTATTATTATTTTCCAGTTCGATCAGAGAGAGACAGAGAAAGAGAGAGAGAGAGAAAGTGAGAAAGAAAGCCGCCAGGTCCAGGACTTGAACCGCGATTGGCCACATGGGAGTCCAGCACCCTTAACCACCACGCCACCTGCCGGCCCCTTAATTTCAAATTTTATTAGTGTTCAAGATAACACAATATGGCAGATGCATAGATTACTTAAGGAGGAAATTTCATTTAATTTCTTGAAATTTTACAGAATACATGGTCAGATTTATACTGCAATATCCTGCCCTGGCGAAATTATAACAAGAGAGTGAAAAAAAAAAAAACAAAACAAAAGAGAGGGATAGTTACATAGATTTTCTGCTCACAATACTATGTTAGATGTTTTTAAAGAGTTGTTCTTACTATAATTCTAAGCATGCAGAAAGGAAATGAAATCTTGTTTAGATGGCCAATTACTTGAGATATAACAAGGTTTAGGAGGTAGATGCTATGTAAATTAGCAAAGTTATCAAAGAAAACATGATTCACAAAAAATGGATAAGGTAAAAGAGAAAATACTGTAGGAAAGAAAACAAAATTGTAAGTATAAGAAGCATGGTCTCATTTTACAGATGAACACACTAGAAAGTTTTTTAAATTGTGTGCCCTAGGTTACTAGCAGAGGCAGTTTAATGCTCTTTCTGCTCTGTCAGGCTGCCTCCAGTGATCAGTGATTATTTGTACTACACAAAGAGCCTATTGCTGCTGGCAAAGCTCGTTCTCAAAACAGATGAACAAACGAAGCGATCTACTTCACCTCTTTCCTTCTTTGACTCATATACTGTGCTGTTCTTCTACTTTCTCTCTGGTTCTTTGCTGTATTATTTTGCTGGCTTCTAAGCTTTCCTTTTCTTTCTAAATGTATAGCTATTTTCATAGATTCAGTTTTCACCTGTATTATCTCAATTTTCTTATTTGTAAAAATGAAAGACTTAGAATGGGCACTTCTTAATTCTAAAAGCAGAGTCAAAGATAACACAAAATCATGGATATTCTAAAAATCTTATTTAAAAATCTAGCATGTCTTGGGACCAGCAGTTGGCATAATGGCTATGTCACTGGACTTCCATGTAGATGATCGCAATTTGAGTCCCGGACCTGGTGGCTTAAACTCACGCCAGGCATGTGTGCGTGCCCAAAATCCCGAGAGGAGAATGGAGGAAAAGGGACTGCAGCGTGGCTATCCCCTCGGGGGGGGGGGTGATTTCTCGCTTTCTGCATCTCTGTCTTTTTGGCTAGAGTATGCACCCTATAGCCAAAACCTCTCCCCACCCCCCACCCCCCAAAAAAAGAAAAAGAAAAAAGAAAGAGTCAAACAAACAAACAAAAAAAACCCCAGCATGTCTGAACAGACACCTCATTAAAGAATACATAGAGATGGGACCAGCAGTTAGCGTAATGTCTATGTCGCTGGACTCCCATGTAGTCGACCGCGGTTCGCGTCCCGGACCTGGTGGCTTAAAACTCACGCCTGGTGCATGTGTGTGTGTGCCCAAGATCCCCAGAGGAGAATGAAGGAGAAGGGATTGTGGCATGGCCATCCCCCCAGGGGGGTGAGTTCTCGCTTTCTGTCTCTCTGTCTCTCTCTGTCTGTCTGGCGAGAGCATACACCGTATAGCAAAAACCTCTCAAAAACAAAAAAGAATACATAGAGATAATAATAATAACATGAGAAGATGGTCATGGGCCAGCCCCATAGTGCAGTGGTTGTGCAAAGTGTGTAGGGAGCCAGATCTTACATGATTGATTGAGGTTCCAATCCCAGCCCCAGTGGGTTGAAAAGCATGCCAAGTGTGTATGTTTTTGTGCCACAAATCCTAATGAATATATGGAGAAAAAGGATTGTAGGTAGCATGGTTGCATTCCACTGAAGGTTGCTTTCTGGTTCTCCCTCTCTTTCCCCCTCTCTCTCTATCTGGCAAGTGTATGCACCTTCTGGCAATAAAAAGAAAAATGCCCAGCATCTTAAGTCATTAGTGAATTGCAATTAAAACGATGAGATGCCATTATTAAAGTGACCAAAATTCAGCTGACATTACTGGTAAAGATGGGAGCAGCAGGAACACTCACTCATTGCCAATAGGAATGCAAAATGGCACACTTTGGTAGACAGTTTTGGCAATTAAAAAAATAAAACATGCTCTTACCATAGCATCCAGCAATTGTGCTCCTTGGTACTATGCCAAGAGTGAACCTTAATGCAAACTATGGACTTGAGGTAATAATGATGTAGTTTCCTTGATCGTAAAAAGTGAACCTTGATGATGTAAAGTATCAGTAATGAGGGAAATTGTATGCATGTGCAGACAGAGGTATATGGAAACTCTCTGTACTTTCTGCTTGGTTTGCTGTGAGCCTAAAACTGCTCTAAAAATGTGAAGTTTATTAATTAAAAAATTAAAGAAAAACCCCAGCATTGTGTTTTAAAAAGACAAAGACAGAATAAATTACCTGCATTTTCAAGATATGTAAGCTGTGAATTTATCTTCTCTGAGGCTCAGTGGTGGTAGAGTTCCACTTAGGGAACTGTCTTTATTTGGGACAATGCCTTGACAAGCTTCTTTAAGTATGGGAGGGGGAAGTCTTGAGGATAACTGCAATGCAAACAAAACAGAACAAAACAAAAACTTAAATATTGGGTTATCAGAAAAGTCATGACACATTTTTGCATAGAAAAATATGTCTTGATTTTCCAACAACCAAATAGTTACATACAAAGAAATAAACTGAGATATGGGAGGAGAAATGCCAGGAGAAGACAAGGGAAAGTTGAGTTATGGAAAAGACCATGCAACATAGATTATAGGCTGGATCCTGTGGATAAGAAAAATTTCATGGTGACATAGTGGCAAAGAACTTTAAAGACAATAGATGTCTAATTTATAATATTTAGTTTTTGACATTTTGGGAACATACCTACCCACTATATTGCATTGTCTGTATGGTTCAGGAGAAATCAAGAAGCACTGTGTGGAACAAAAAAGAAGAAGTATTTGAAGAGTTCAGATTTGTGAGCAACAGGGGTGAGATGTGTGAGGTCCAGAGTTCAATAGAAGTAGGAGCCACAGCTGACCATGAGAATTCAAGTCTTCAGGACTAAAAGCAATGGAATTTCCATGAAGCCTATTTCAAAAAGAAGTTGAGATTCCAATGGATAGATCAGATGACTAGATTCATAAGATGGTTATACATATATTTGAAGGGTAAAATATAGTACTTGGGACATGGTAGTAAAAACACTTGGCTTCCAATGGTCTGTTATAGTCCTGTATCACTTTTATTTAAAGTTCATTTATTTTTTTCTATGAGTGAGAATTCTGGACACACAAAAACTGAAAGACAGGCATCTCCAGTAGGATCTTCATGCCATGATCCACCCCCAGCTTCAGCCAGTCCCAGATTACTGGCACACACATGCCTGGTGTGTTCAGGCAAATATCCAGATGTGAACTCAGAATCTTCTCATGTGAGTCAGACTTGCAGAGCATTGGGTTACCACTGTGTCACTAATGAGTGCTTTTGGAGCTGAGACAGCCTTGGCTTTGAGCATTATATCTGAGTAAGGTACTAGGGAAGCTCTGATCAAACAAAACTCTTATATGATGCCTGGACTGCTCAGCTAAAAATGTTATTAACTCACTAAGAGATAATACTTATTAGAGGAAAAGATTTGACTCAAGTCATGTACCCACAAGGATGGAGTTAAGACTTGTAATCTTTTTGTCCCCAAGTTGTAGAAATCATGCTTATCACATTAAGTTTGGAAAATACTAGAGTTAGTGAGAACAGTGAAGATTGTCCAAAGGAAGCTCAAGGTTAGTTAAATACTGTTCTGAGAATCACAAGTAAACTGAAAATGAAACTCTTCTCTCAGAATCATAGTAATAAATTTCAGCAGAGACAGGATGACTGACAAAGAAGATATGAAAGTGGATGAAGTGCTCCTGAGATGCAGTGATTATAAAGAGAGGAAAAACCAAAACAAAAACAATGAATGATAGCTGCTTGGATCTACCCTTTTTTGCATCCATAATCGTCCAGTCTTTTTGCTTCTAGGCTTTTTCCCCTGAACCAGTTTTATAATTCAATAGCCATGAGACCTGGAAGGCGGTGGAGCGGTTGCTGCTGAGCATCTTTTGAACCAGAGCAACGAGGACTGCGGGCAGGAGCGGACCGACCTCATCATGATGACCAGCGGGGTTAAGACAGTGTACAGCCTGCAAACCCCCTCTATGCCTAGTGGCGGCCTGCAAACACACAAACTCGAGCCAATTCTGAGTCTATTACCTGTTAGGACCAAAGAAGTTGATGTTCCCAGGCGTCTTCATTCAGGAGGTTCTGAGAATGCTGTTACAAAAACAGCCAAACTAAGACAAGAGAATGGGCAGGTGAAAGCTGCAGACACAGCCAACAGGAGGAACGTGAAGAAGAGCTACAACCATTGAGAAAGCAAAAGTCAGAGGAAGAACTCAAGGATAAGAACCAGCTCTTAGAGACTGTCAACAAACAGTTGCACCAGAAGTTGACTGAAACTCAGGGAGAGCTGAAGGACCTGACCCAGAAAGTGGAGCTGCTGGAGAAGTTTCAGAACAACTGTTTGGCACTTTTGGAGAATAAGGGCCTCAATCCAGTTTTAGACAGTGAATCTCTGACATCACAGCAAGAATCCACTATGGATCACACAAGCTCTATGTTGCTGTTAGAAACTTTGCAAGATGAGCTGAAGCTTTTTCAGGAAACAGCCAAAAAGCAGATGGAGGAGTTACAGGCTTTGAAGGTAAAGTTGAAGATGATAGAAGAAGAGAGAGCCCAATTTCTAGAACAGCAAAGCTTACATAGTGGTCAAGTAAATGATTTTACAGCAGCCCTTATGGAAATGGAGCAGCTATTAGAAATGTAAAAGGCAAGTGGCCAGATGGCTCCCATTTGGAGAGGAAGCCACTCAGGACATCTTCATGGTCTTGATCTTCTAGGACTCACCGTTCCCAGAATGAAAAGTTTCTGCAGTAGGGTTAAGGACAGTTTATGCTGGAGTGGTGGTTGCTCTTTTAAGGAAGTTCTCCCAACCTTCCGATTGCTCAGCTCTTCTGAGCTTCACATACTTGAGGCTCACAAGATGGGGGAGCTGGCAGTTTACATCGTCTTCCTAAGCAACGAAGCAGCCCAAAAGAATAAGGAGATTGAACCAGCTGCAGCCAGAGGATCTAAAAGACCACATTCAGATTTGCAGAAAGAAATCCTTCATTATAGTGGAGCGTAGGTGCTTCGTGGGAGACAGGATGAAGGAGCCACGCTGTGCCCTCCTAGCCTGGAACCTGTTCTGTCCCATCCTGGCTGGGCTTCTGTTCCTCACTGTAACTTTGTAACCTTGGAAGTTACTAAAAGTGTTGTTGGCTTAATAAATGGGGTAAAGCTACAGATGGTAATAACACCTACCTGAAACATTATACCTTGGAGCTTTTAATTTAAGTTATTTCTGTTTTTTAAAAAAAGCCTCTTTTATAATAAAATGTATGTAAATATTCTTTAAAAAATAATTCAATAGCCACTAAGAGAACTTTGATCGTTTTCTCTGGCAATTTAGAGCCCATGGTAATCTTTCATATCAAAATTTCAAATCTGTGAACTTCAAGATTTTCTTTGAGTTTTTCCAGCCTTTCCCCCCGCCCCCCCCCAACCTAACTAGTCTTTTGATGTACCCTGATTTTGGTCTTCTTTATAACCAATTTATTTTCATATGCACCTGGCAATTTTATTTATGCTTTATAGCCAGCTCATTAGTCACCTGTATATGAAGAAAGTGCTCCAGTTTCCTGTTCATCATTCTAGTTTTTGTCCTTACATGACTAGTTTCTGTTTGTGAAAGATATTAGGAAAGAAAATTATTCTGAATATTTGAATAATGTGGCTGAGTTAGCATAGCCTATATGATTTTTTTAAAAAGAATTATTTGTTTATTCATTCATTTATCTTAATTTGACCAGACACATACAGAGAGAGAGAGAGAGAGAGAGAGAGTAAACCACCAGGTACAGGACTTGAACTGTGGTCGGCCATGTGGGAGTGTCCAGCACCTTAACTACCACACCACCTGTTGGTCTCCTCCTTAAATGAATTATTTTATAACAGAATTCTTAATGATAAGCTCAAACTAAACAGGATATGAGGGCAATCAGGCTGTAATATCTGCAGTCACCCATTGATTTCTAGGGCTGATTCACCTGATCTGGCTAGATAGGCAGGGATCTCTTTCCTCCCTCTCTCTCTTTGTACATTCTCCCCTCCACAGTTGCTGTGTCAAAGAGGATGACCTTACCTGAT